TTCTGGTCTTGACAGCCTATTGATGTAAGAATTACACTTGAATTACCTTGTGATTTTCTTAGCCCAACTCAAGACACTGATGTAAATCAGTTTAAAGAATGCAGAAGCTACCATGCTGCCAACTCAGAATCCGTAATTTAGGACACGTTTCATACTCTAGGCCCTGAAGCCTTAAAGTCAGGACCTGTAAGCTGAATAATACTCACAGTTTATGAATTTCAAAGACAAACAAATACTGCTACCCACTTTTGGAGCCTTTGCCTTTATACCTGACCAAAGTGACAGAGCCCCTCTCCAGGACCTGTGATACCACAGGCCTGTGACAGCACCCCAAACTTCAGTGGGAACCCCAGCCTATTGCCAGGGCCTCTGTGATGACTTCAGAGTCTGGGACGCCATACTTGTCTTGAAATGACACTATTTGTTGCTATAATGCTTGGTCATGAATGAAAGGTAAGCTGCCCCTCAATGTGTTTGTACTGGCTTCTGTTTCCATGACTGATTCTCTTCACTGGTCCCTCCAGAATCCTCTTCCCTTACAGCTCTCCCTCCCTCCCCTCCAGGTGCGTATGCTCTCTAACTGTCCTGAATGCTCTGCACCATTGGCCTTAACAAAAATCTGTACAGAGAGATAACAAGAATGAGCAATCCTTTGTAGAGCTGTGACATTTTGACTTTTCTTCTGTCTGTAATATCCCTGGCACATTAGGGATGCTGAACCAATGATAACTAGATGATAAGGATGGCCCATGATGCAGTTTTCTTTTGGTAGAAGAGATAAATGGGGTGACATTTTAGCAATTTGTTTTTATACCTCCAGAACACTTAAATCCAGAGAGCTGATGGTGACATCCAAGTTCTGCTGTTGACTCCTCTACTAAACTGAAGGTGGTGATAACCATTGCCCACTTCAAGGGTTGATGTGAAGTCTAGAAACAACACATTTACACACATTTTATAAGCAGTAGACTACAATGTATATGAAGCATAAAAGATGTGTTTGCTGAATTATTGAATCCACTTAGAAGTCATCGAGTTCACCTTTTCCTATTTAAAAATGGAGCACTTGCTAATGAAAATACTGCAGACCTCTGGACCTTTCTGGATTTGAATTCTTGGTTACAATGAATGCAGCTACATGTTCATTGGTTCCTCTGGACATGGGGTCACATTGCTGCCTCATCATTCACTTGTGCTATCAGGAACTTAAGGCTGTCTTTGTGTTGAATCTACCTGTTTATAAATCAAATAAAAGCTTATCACGATAAGGTATTGAGCTGTATCAGAAAAGTTGAGCTTTGCTAAGGTGATGACAGGGTAAAACCGAAATCCACAGAAGGGGCAGCTTGCAGAAGTAGCAGCTATGTTGTGCCTAAGCTGAAACTCCCTTGTGAGTGGCTAGGGACCAGAATGTGGAGTCTGTGCCCCACAATTAAAGTGCTGGGCTGTTAATGTGCCAGTGTCTCTTAAAAAAATCTCAGAAAACAAATCAAATAAGGGTGAGTTGGGGATGCGGCCCTTTTCTGCTGCCTTTTGGCCAAATGAGTTGGCCAGCAAGCTTCTAGGAGAACTCTACCAAGAGCAGCAAGGACCACTACCAAGGACTCAGTGTGGGCCTGGCGTGCTTCAGTATTTATTCCTCCTTTAATCCTCACCACTGCCCTAGGCAATAGGCATTATTACCCCTCTGGTCTGTGGTGAACCCCCCACCTCCACTCATGGACTACATTTAGAGATTAGGTTTTTCAAGAGTTAATTAAGTTAAAATGAGATCATTAGAGCGGACCCTGATCCAATATGACTGTGCCCTTATGAGAAATTGTGGGACAAAGATATACCCAGAGGTAAAAAACAAACAAACAGGGACTGGACAACCATCGGCAAGCCAAGGAGAGAGGTTTCAGAAGAAACAGCCCCTGCCCACATCTGTGGCTCAGACGTGTGGCTTCCAGATTGTAAGAGGAGATGCCTGGTGTTTAAACTGCTCTGTCTGCGTGTACTTTGTTGAGTAGTCCAGCCCATCTATATGCCCTTATTTTACATCAGAGGGTCAGAGGCAAGAAAACTTCCTGAATTTCTTGCAGATGGGGCAAAGTAGAGCTGGGATTGAAATTCAGGAGTGTGTGATTCCCAAGCTTGTCTTACTTTTTCTGAGTCCTGGGTGTGTCTGCCTTGAGGCTGCTTTTCTCACTTCAGAACAGTGATCAGGGCACAAATCTTTGACTTCTGGTTCACTGTTCTCACTGAAAAATCATGGCCTCTCCCCTGTCATACCACTTTGGCTAGAGGTATAAGCTCATACTTCTCTGGGCAGGGATGTCATGACAAATTTGCCTTGGTGTGGGACCTTTCTTCCCAGTTCTCTTTTCCCATGGTCTGAAGTAAAGGAGACTTATTCTTCACATGCTTTGTACCTGCTTAGAAGTGGGTTAAATGTACCAGAAAAGTGGTATAGATTACGAAAGTTGAGCATTGTGCTTTCACTATCGCTGGCACTGAGAAGTTTGGTGGATCTTCATCAACGAAAGGTAAATATTAGAATTGCTTTGATTACTTTAAAAAAACACCTACTTTTTTCGGAGTGGGAGGTGAGGTGGGACTAGGGTTTAAACTCAGGGCTTCATATTTGTAAAGCAGGTGCTCTGTCACTTGAGCCACGCCTCCAATCCAGAACACCTACATTTTGATCTCTCTTCTAAATGTTCTGGTCTAATAAATCCCGGGTCAGGATCTGAGCATCCATAATCACTTTTATTTCCTTTTAAATCTTCCTCGTGACTTGGTGTCTCATCAGATAGAGAACCTTGAAGTTGTAGAATGACTTGCTCATAATGGTTTCTTCTAAACCCTTACCATGGTTGCATCTGAATAGTGTTAACACCTAAAAAGTCACTCGTCCATTTTAGCTTTCATTATCTACTCCTAGTCTTCTGTATGCTTCTTAGTCTACTTTTTATTTTTGTCGGTGCTGGGGTTTGAACTCAGGGCCTTGCTCTTGTTAGACAGGCGCTCTACCACACTTGAGCCACTCCCCCAACCACTTCCACCTTTTCCCGTGGGTCGCTAAACTTAATCCTGTTCTGGGGTGACAGGACAGGGTAGTTAACCATTGTGCTAACAGAGGATTTCCAAGATATTAGACTTTTTCTTTGTAGTTGTTAGCGGGTGCCAATGTAAGCCTGGTTAGGCACTACCCGACATATTTTGGAAATCTCTCCCTGCTGAGTTCAGCTGATTTTGTACGGGAGTTGCATTTTCTTCCTCCAGAGGGTCCCAGAGGGCAAAAACGCTTGGGGGAGCTGAGCAGCCCAGCCTATACCTTCACCCTGAAGCTAGCCAATCAGAGTTGAACATTGAGGTGACCAATGCCCTGTTCTCTTTTGGAGCTCCCCTTCTTTCCTAGTGGCCTCTTCCAGCTCTCAACCTCTATCCAAGGATAAATAGTAATGTTTTCCTGTTAGGGCAGCAGCTAATGGTGGCAGAATACAGGCGGGCAGGGACTGTGACTAAGAACCTAGGCGTTTTAAGGGGTCATTTCTAAAACTCTTTGTGTACATTTATCAATAAAAAGGTCTCACCGTTTTTTATGTTGTCAATATATGGATAATTATGTATAAGTTATATGTGCTCACAGTATCACCAATGTATTAGCTATACACTATAAAATAGGAATTTAAAAAGAATGAGCAAGAACATACAGTGAGAGTTCTCATATTTCCTTTCTGTCCTCCCGTGAGGGTCACTTTGGGTCACTGCTTTAGAAAATGCATTTCCTTGATGGGACAGGGCCTTGGGGAGAGTGTAAAGGAGGTCTTGGTTTTGTTGATTGAGCACTTCTTTCTACCTGCAGTTGTCATTTTGGAGTTATGGTGGTGAGTCTGGAACAAGGCAGTTTTGTGTGAGGGACTGACAGGCAAAAAGGAAGCCCCGAAGGGAGGGAGCATTGGGGAGAATTTGTGGTGATGGTTGGCAAGCGAAGCAGCCTTTGTGTGCATTTTGTCACATGCAGTTCCATGAGCACTCTGAAATCAGCACGGTGTCCACATCACTCAGATTTCAATGCACACACCAGCATATTTATGTCTGAACAACCAGCTTCCTGCAGTAGGGAAAGAGGTTCTTCGCATCTTAAGTGTTTCAGGGCCACGGAGACCCATTTTAACTTATTCTCTTGACACTTCCTGTGATGATGGGCTAGTGTTCTTATCTGAAGCGAATTAAAAGTTTGTCTTCTGGACGTTGGATCCCTTATTATATTTTCCTTCCAACTGTCCACCCACCTGGTTGTTTTTACCTCTAACTAGGATAAGAAAAGTTAAAAGTTATATTATATTCAGAAAGGTTTCTACCAGAGCAGACAAACTGGAATGATTTAAATTAAAAAGTACTACTGTACAGTCCTGTAATCCCACCCAAGCAAACTTGGGGCTAAGAAAGCCGGTCTTGGGGTGGGGTGGGGGGTGTAGAAGGTGGGTCACACAACATAACTTTAAACTCAGAGATTAAAGAATTTGGGCAACACAGTGAGACCCTGTCTTCTAAGAATAAATGAACACACTGCCCATTTTTGTTAAAGTGCACACACAGCTTTATAGTTTGTGCATATAATCACTTGGGGTAATCTAAGGATAGTATACGCATAATAATAATAGTAATAACACTCATAGGTTGAGAGAGCTGTGGCTTAACAGAGGAGGAAGTCAGATGATGTTGCTTGCTTAAGGTCACACAAGTAGTTAAGAGCAAAGCTGGGACCAGAGCCCAGACTGTTTTAGTTAGCCTACTTTCTACTTTTATCACGTGACTCCTTAGTCTCTGAATCTTTCAAATGCAGAAGCTTAGAAGCTTGGCTATAAATTAGCTTTATAGAGGTAGATACTGATTCTTAGTTAAAGAACTCCTTTTGGGCTATATGTAGATTTGATCATTCTGTCACTGGAAGTATTTCAAGGACTAATTTGGTCAATGTCTTGCAATTGATATTTTGTTTTGGTATTTAGGTTTTCCGAGGACATTAGTACAGGCTGAAGCCCTGGATAAAATCTGTGATGTGGATCTAGTGGTCAGTTTGAACATTCCATTTGAAACCCTTAAAGATCGACTCAGCCGACGCTGGATTCACCCTCCTAGCGGAAGGGTCTATAACCTGGACTTCAACCCACCTCATGTACATGTAAGGATAAATATACACCGTGCTCTCACATGGACATGATAGAGGCAACATTTTTCAGTTGAACAGTGTGTAGAGCATATGAAGACTGAAAAACATCTACATGGCTAAAAAACACATAAAAAGTAGTCATTCAGAAGTAATCAAAGAAGAGAATTTTAAATAAAAAATTGGATTGCTTTGGATCCATGGCACTAGGCAAATTTAGCAGGATGAATCACCTGTTGGTGATGTGGTTCTAGGAAAATGGTACTCTCATTTTTCTTTGATTAAATATCAATAGTATCTTTTAAATCTACATGACAATGTACATTATAAAGAATTAAAGGTCTTAAATCTTTCATTCAACCCAATGTTAGGAGGAATAGCCCATGAAAATGAAAACCCTAGCAAGTAAAATCATGTGCTTTATTTCCATGCTGTTTGTAGCAACTTCCCAAAACCAAACAAAATGAAGGTTAATCTACAGGAAATTGGGATAAATAAGTTGGAGACTTCCACATCTTTTTTTTTTTTTGGTGCTGGGGTTTGAACTCAGGGCTTCATGCTTGCTAAGCAGGTACTCTACCACTTGAGTCATTCCACCAGCCCTTTCCATGTCATCTTGAACTATAGCATATAGTCAGTAAAAGAAATGAATGAGTACAATGCCTTTCCCCTTTCCTTTAGTGCTAGGGATCAAACTTGTGCATTGCTAATCGAGTATCCTTACTCTGAGCTACACCTCCATCCCTGATATGGTGTATTTCTTTGTTTCGCTATGTAACCCAGGTTGGCCTCAAACTCATGATCCTCCTGCCTCAGCCTCTAGAGTAATGAATTACAGGCCTGTGCCACCATGCTTGACTTAGACTATTTCTGACTTATTGTTCTATTATGACTCCATGATAAAGACAGATTGAATTAATTCAATCTGATAGTACTTCACTCTGGTAATTGGGTGGTAGATAGTATGTCTTCTTATTATCTAAAGGTGGAAGAAATAGTATTGTGTCCTACTGGATAAACTTTTATGGAGAAGATTAGGCTTAAGTATATAGATGGAGGCACTAATTATTACAGAAAATTGTTTTAAGGGGCTAAAGATGACTTCCCAACCTGGGTGCTATTTGTCAGCAATATCCTAATGAGACCTGTTCATTTGGGCCAAGCACTAGTGTCCTTTTGAAGTTTTCTTTTCATTCATTCTAAAGACTAAATCTTGCTATTTGCCCAGACTCTCTCCAGCCTCCCCTAGTAACTGGAACTACAGGTGTATGCCATCAAGCCTGGCTAGATCCTTTTTTTTTTTTAATTTCCATCCCAAGAAGCTACAGTAGGAAAATAGAATAACTGGAAAGAAAAACAAGATTTATGAAAATGCAGATGAGAACACCAAAGTCCAGCACAAAATACTTTACATTTTGGCTTTGTCCAGACCTCCAAGGTCTGGTTTTCTCTAAAGGAGTAGCTTTAATTACAATGCTTTTGCCAAAGACAGCAGTGAAAGTGCTGACCTGGCCAAGTCTACCAGCTGCCATGGCCAGTCCCCCAGGAAGGATGTTGTCTTAGTGCCATTTGGCTCCTGCTGGAAGCAGTGTTGTGTTTGCTGGTGCTTTGAAATCCTTGAAATGGATCCTGGGCATTGTGCCTAGAAGCACAACAAAGCAGGGAGGAATATACATGATGTACAGCCTTCTCCCATCCCCATCTCTCATTTCATGTCCAGTTAACAACCATACAGTACACATGTGATCATTACATGGTTCACAATAAATCATGAGTGTAAGTCATCCCATGGCCTTCAACTGTAATGGAATTCTATTGTGTTTCAAATTTATGGGCAGTTTCTGATTATCCGTTTGAGTTATCTGAGCCTATTGGTTCTGCTTCAGCTTGTCTTTGACAGATTTACTACTTGTGATTCTCCCCTGTAATAGCCATGGACTTGGGAGGCAAAATTCTGATGTGTCCATTTTGTTATTTGTAAGTGGGTATGCTTCCTGGGGAGATTAAAAGATAGTGAAAATTAAAGTTTTTTATTATAGTTTTTCAGTTATCAGAATGTTTGTCCCTTACTTACTATCAAGGGTATTTGTGTCTTGCCTATTTTAATGTACTGTAAGATGTGTCATTTTTGATGTAGTAAAATAATCAAAGATAAATTTTGGAGAAACTGCATGGTAATTGAAAAGCTGGCAGAGATGGCAGTGAAATGTCTTCTCAATCAGCATTTTTTCTAAGTGAACCAAGTTGGGTTTTTAAAAAGACATTTATCTTCCATATTAAGAAGCCAGGTTCTAGAAAACAAGGTAGTTTTGGGGAAAATTTAGAGGGCCAGAGTGACATTGGCTTGTTATTGGAGGAGGTTGCCTGGAATTTAAACTGAATTGAAAGTACCCTTATCAACAGCAGTGGAACATGCTTGGAAAGATGTGAGCAGTTAAGAATTTGATGTTGACTCTGAGGAAATAAAGTTAATACACTGTGAAACCCCAGACCTAGTCACACAATTGAAGTCAAAGGTTTTGCACAGTAAAGTTCTGACCCACAGAAGGGCCCAGGTGGTCCATTTTAACCAGTTTCTGTTTATAGGGGATTGATGATGTCACTGGTGAGCCATTAGTCCAAAAGGAAGATGATAAGCCTGAAGCAGTTGCTGCCAGGCTAAGGCGATACAAAGACACAGCGAAGCCAGTCATCGAACTCTACAAGTGAGTATGCTTCTATATTTCCATGGCAAAGGAACAACTAGAAAGGTTGGAGCCTACTAGGAAGGCCATTGGGCTGAGGCAGGGCGAGGTTTCTTTGATCTAGGTAAACTCTAAAGGCCCATTTCCTCCTTCCCTCCAACCCCAGGCATATGAAATGCTGGAGTAGCGTATGGGAGATAAAGTCTATACTTTTCATCGTGGAACTGTTAGAATGTAAAGACTGCAACCTGATCATCTCTGTCTGGTCTGGATGTAAATTTGCATCTAACCTTATATATTATTATTGATATTGATATTACTAGTTGAAGTGCTGGGGTTTGAACCCAGGACCTTATTCATGCTAGGCTAGGCAAGCTCTCCACCACTGAGCTGCACCCACCAGCCCTTCACTTTCCTATTTAATTGACTGACATAACTGTCTATATTTTGATACTCCTCCATGTAAATATGTAGTTTCTATAGCAAATTAAGCCTGGGTGTGTCTGTAGGGAGTTTAACAACAACAACAAAAAAAGCTAAAACTGTAAAACTTGAGATTATAAATTCAAATAGCTTCAAGGGCCAGGTAGGTATTAGAAATGAATCTTTGGCTGAGTATGTAGTTCAGTGGTGGAGTATGTATCTAGCGTGGATGAGGCCTTGGCTTCTAGCCCCAGCACTGCTTAAAAAAAAAAAAAGAGAAAACCCCCCACAAAGTCAGTTCTGAGAGGGGATGGGGGGGTAGTGGTGTTTGAGGTGGGCAGGTGAACAGGACAGCTTCTGGGCTGATCTATCAAGTTAGATCCACAGGGTCGTGCAGGCCCATTGTGTCAAAGGATTCCTGGTTTTTAGGAGAAGCAAAAATCTGACCCTCAGTGGGGGGATGAGGGGAGAACATCTCAATTTTTATATTGTCAGCAAATTAAAAATATTTAAGCAGTACACAAACCAAAACAGAACCATATGCTGACTGCACCTGGAAGAGCAGATCATAGTTTCTATTATAGTCAGTTTTTTGCCTGTGGCTCCCACACTTAGCAAACCTGGAGCTCAGTTATCTGGATCATGTTTGTTATGGTGCATCCTGGCTTCCATGATTCCTTGTAAGTAGTGAAGGTTTCTGAGTACCAATGTTTGCCAATGATTTGCTTTTGAAAAGTAAATTTCAAGGCAGATTGGGATTGCCCCTCTAATGTTAGCATTTTTTGTTTGCTTGTTTTTGTTTTTTCTTTTTTAAGGGGAGAACAAGTGGTGCATGATGCCAAGCATGCCAGAATTGCAGAAACTCTGGCTTTGTTTAGATCTACTCAGTGGAGGTGTCCGTCCATATGAAGGGGGCTGTTGGGGTCATTACATGTTGTGTTATAGAGATTATGGGATCTGGTATATCTGTCCTAATGCCATGTTGAGAAGAAAACTGAAACGCCTTTGTGTTTGGACTGTTTTTCAGGAGCCGAGGAGTGCTTCACCAATTTTCTGGGACGGAGACTAACAAAATCTGGCCTTATGTCTACACACTTTTCTCAAACAAGATCACACCAATTCAGTCCAAAGAAGCATACTGAGCCTGCCCAGTGGAAGAACCAGGAGGACGTGGTCATTCCCTCATGTGTGTGTGTCTTTGTGTGTGTGTGTGATATTGGTGCCATGTCCAAATTAGAAGCTAGCGGAGATAGCCTGCAGCTTTCCCAGTAATGGTGACAATGATAGGAAAACTAGCAAGCAGAAAGAGTTCACGAAGAGGCCCTCCTCTGCCTTTGAAAAAAGGTGTCTTTGAACATGTAAAGCCCTTCACAAGGAAACAAGTACAGATTGGATTTCGAGCAGTGTCTAAGCTGCTCGAGCTGGTATTTGACAGCCACGATGTTGCTGTGGTCTTTTTGCACGTGACAGTGGTGATCTCTGGTCTTCCCACCTCCAAAGGCTGTTGAACCACATCACCAGGAAGGCTGAGTATGATCGCTAAGGGCTCTAGCCCCAGCTTTGTCCCAGTTCTTTGCTGTGTGCTCCTGTGGTAACTATTGAACTGAAGCCAATTGCACTCAGTGGTTGCTTCTCCCTTGAGTGACTACCATGCCCACAACTCATTTTTTCTGGTAGGAATAATGACCTTTCTGTGTCCACACTCTGCACTCCCCCTTTCAGCCATTCTGGCTTCTACTGGCTGTATTTTCTTACATCTGTTTCCTTTCTTCCCAGGCTGTCAAATAATATAGGCAGTTACTACATTTATCCCTCCCAGATTCCTCTTTCTATGAACTGAGAGCTAGGGGATTGTATTGAATCTCTTCATACACTGGGAACTGAGCCATGCAGAAGGTCTAGCTTTAAACAGCTCTTTTGGGGGCTCACTCTTTGTATCTCTCAAAGTCTTTGAGAATCCTCAAGAACTATGGGAAATACTAATAGAAATGCTGAAGGATCATATCTTCTGTACAGGCATAGTAATAAAGCCATATGGAATTACTGAATTAATTGAATAGTTAAGTTTTTCACTCAAGATGAAATGAAATGAATTTTGAACATGCTGCTGGATGGTGTTGCCAACAGCGTTTTTCTTCCATGTGGGACCCAAGCAGATAAGATTAAAGGGAGTGGGTTGAGGATGTACTACATGTACTTAGATTGAATGTGACAGCTTATGATTATGGGAAAACAAGCCCCTTCCCCATTCCAAAGATGTAGGCTGTGGGGTGACCATAAAGTCTAGCATAAAGATGCTAGTATTTTATCATTGATTATACCAATAAGCCATTTGGTGAAAGCTTTTACTGGGTTTTAGACTTGGTGGCCACCTTGTATAATTCTTGCTATCATGGGAGGAATGATGGAAGTTATTCCTGCTGTTTTAAATGTTTGTAGCCCCCACTCCTGTATCATCCTGTCCCCAGGGAACATTGTCACTATTCCTGGAAGTGACTTCTATCTAATTTTTCATATTGGTGAAGGGGGTAAAAATAATCACTTTGTTTCAGCCTTTAAATGGTATGGAAACACATCATTTACTTTCTGAAGGGGTCCCCATGAATCCCGGCCGCTTTACTGCCGTACATATATATTCTATATGCTAACAAGTCTGTCTTCGTTATAATACTGCCCTAACTCTTGCTGGTTTTTCTTCTTCCTTTGTCCCTTCAGGTGACTTTCCTGTTTACCATCTTAGTGGAAATGCAGACCAGTGTTTTCCCCATCTCCTCAGTCACAGAGAACTTGTTAGGTTTTTGTGATGAAAATGCCCAGTTCAGGTCTGTAAGTTGTCAGTGTGTTTTTTTATATCAAGTACTTCAGAAGAATTGCATTTGGATGCCAGCTCATGGGGATGGAGTAGAAATCAGATATGTAGATAAAGCTCAGGTTTCCTGGGGAGCCAGGTATAGAGGAAAACAAGTCTGAAATAGGGGAAATTTACACAGTTTAGAGTAAGTTTGGCCATGGAGACCATTTCCACAAATGATGAACAGTAGAGAGTTAAGTTATTATGGATGATTCAGAAGAGGAAAGTGTATGTGTTTTGGGAAGTACAAAAATCTTCAGATGTCTTTCCTCACTTCTCCTCCCCTGTAGTCACTGCCTTTGGAACTTGGGATAGAGGTATGAGAAAAGGCCGGACCCCTGATTGCCTATGCTAGTTCTCCGTCCTTCCCTGTCTCCTCCTTTTGGCCAAGTAGATGGTCACAGCCAGCATCTGGTTCCTTAGTCTCAGCAGTGTCTGCTTTGCTGAGATTGCTTAGGAGTTGAGGGTCCTTGGTTAGGTGAGTCCAGCAAGAGACAAACACCTTTTCAATGGCTGTTGAAAGATGATGCTCTAACTGGGCGCTGGTGGCTCACATCTGTAGTCCTAGTTACTCAGGAGGCAGAGATCACGGTTAGAAGCCAGCCCTGGGCAAATAGTTCATGAGACCCTGTCTCAAAAAAAACCCATCACAACACAGGGCTGGTACAGTGGCTCAAACGGGAAGAGTACCTGCCTAGCAAGCATGAGACCCTGAATTCAAACCCTGGTACTACTGAAAAAAGAAGATGCTTGTTTCATGTTCAGTGGACTTATCTTCAACAAACTCATTGGTTTTCCCTACATGATTTTATAAAAATAGGTTATCTTGAAAATAATTTAACAAAAGTAAAGGAGTTTTTCTAGTTTTTTTTTTAACGTCATACCAGCAGTTCCTTCACACTTAAGCAGAGAATGGTTTGGATGGTCTCCAAGATTTCATTCTGACCTCACAGTCTGATTCTACCCAGTCTTAGTTCAGTTTGCTTCCTATGATCCAAACAGGTTTCCCACTGACTTAGAACTTGGAAACACTGCTGTGTTTATGTCCTCCTCACTAAGACAAACTTATAATAGGTACCATGTTTTGAAGGCCTACTGAATGAAATGTGTGATTTTAGGACCTTTGCAAACATCTCAACAAATCTTTCTCTCATCCTATGAGACAGACATGCCTTGCTTTTATAAACAGAGAAGGTGGGCCTAGGATGTGCTGCCAATGAACATTGGGGTGAGGACTCAGCCCCTGGTGCTCCTGACTTGGAAGCCTGGGCTTTTTTCTGAATGCTAACTACTTGTGGCTGCATAAGAATGGCAGAGTTCACTAGTGTGACTGCAGGAGACTGTTCTTTTACCCTTTGCCTAAGCAAAGGAAGCTGCTAAAAGAGTCTGTGTCCTTGGTCCTCCTCCCTAGATCCTTAGCATAAATGAAAGACTGAAGCAGGCTGGGCATGGGTTCAAGCTAAGCTTCTGAGCACCAGAACATGGAACCAAGTCCATGTTCCTTGCTGCCCTTTTGTTGTCTATTGTGTGTGCCTCTGAAAGAGCCTTTACCTTTGAGCCATCTGTGGCCATGGTCCCTGTGCATAGACCTTGGCTCTGTGGAGCTATTGACACACTACTCGTTTTCTTCCTTGAGATCAGAACAGATTGCTCCCTCACTCTCACCCCCAAACAGGGCCTTGATGATAAATTCATCCTTCTGAAAATGCTAGCAAGTAAGGAAACAGTGACTGAGCCTTTAACAGGGTAACCCTTAGCTTTTGTGGTGTCATTGTACTATATCACATGGAACCACGCTAACATGGTTCTGAGCGCCAAATTCACACCATCACCTATCATCTACTTCTCATGTGACAATTGTGGCTATAACCAGAGGAGATTTCCTTCCTGTCTTGTCTTTTTCCCTAGGGATCAGCCCCCACATACCCAGTAACCAAGCTCAGATGAGCTCCCGTATCACCCAAGTCATACCGTACTATTGGGTAGAGAAAGAAAAAGGTAAGAAATACCAAGAGTGAGGGAGAATGCTCAGAAGTTCTGCTGCTGTGGCTTTCCCCACAAAGTAAAGTATCGAGATGGGATAGTTTTAGGTAGGAAGATACTGAGCAGGCCAAAGGCAATGTGACTAATGCCTATAATCTCAGCTACCTGACAGCAGGATCTGAGGCAGCTTGGGCAAACAGTTAGGAGTATACCATCTCAATAAGCCAGATGTGGTGGTACATGCCAGTGATCCTAGCTACACAGGAGGCATAAATAGGAGGACTGCAGTCTGAGGCTGATCCCAGGGAAAAATGGGACCCTATCTGAAAAGGAAAAGAGAAGAGGTATAGACATGGTTCAAGTGGTAGAGCAGCTGCCTAGCTGTGTGAGGCCCTGAGTTCAAATAGGGTTCAAACACTGAACCTAAGTTCAGTGTTTGACTTCAGCTGAGAAGTTAAGCCTGCTGGAGCTCTTTACTTAATCTATAAAGTCTACATATTTCCAAATGTGTTAAGTTATTGGAGCTTTTGGCATTTCTTTCTCACTAAGCATATTATATGCATGGTCCAATTAAATTGTCAAGAATTGCCCAATATATTAGATATCTCAATTATTTTGTCTCCTTGTATTTAAACACTGAAAAAATTGTATTTATTTACATGTGCACTCACATACTTATAGGGGTTCATGAGGAAATCTCAAGGGGCCTTTTTTGTACTTGTCCCTGACTCAACTCCTCAGCCTTACCAGTTGTTAAACAATGTGTTTGCTTCAACCTGGGCTCTTCGCTTGCAGCTCAAGACAGGGAATGGCTCTCTGTGGGCTCGGTGCCACTGCACATTGTATTTACAGACGCTGTATGTCTCATGTGTGTTCTGCAGGCTTGCAGGATCTCGGGGTCCTCAGGGCTACTCCATGACTTTCGTTTATTCCACTTTCATTTAACTGTGTCTTTTCTTGCTGCAGTTGACTCATAAGGTGGAGTCCTGTCCAGAGCATGAGTCTCTTTCTCTGTCCTTTCCAGTTTTAGTCATTCCCAGTCTGTTTGGTGTCTCAAGGGAAGGGCCCAGAAACACAGACTTCTTTTACTATGAAAATGCTGTCTGCTCATGTGTTGTTATTCCTTTTTATATGTAACTCACCAAACCTGGTTTTCAGAGGAGAAGCATAAGACCCTGATGGTGGGAAACCATGAAGCCATATTTCAACTATGAAAGAGAAAACCTGCTTCCTGTGTCCGTTGAAACACATTAAAATTTGCACAAATGCCAATCTTATCTTTGTTGCAGCGAATTTGCTCAGTTCTTGCCAGAATAAATGCCATTATCTGCCTGCTTCAGGGTGTTCCTCAGTGTGATCATTCTCTGTGTGCGTGCCTGTGTGTGTGTGTGTGTGTGTGTGTGTGTGTGTGTGCACACGTGCTGTGGGTAACGCAGATAGGGTAAAATGTTGCCAGAAGGCCTCCTTCCTCTAGTGACCACTAGGCCACCTGAGGAAGTGCAGTGTCCTGTAAATAAGAGGTTTCTTGTTTGAAACTTTTCAAAGAATCAGCCTACCTTGTAGATTTTCCCTGGGATACAAACTATTTTGTATTTAATTTAAAGAAAAGAGTAGAAAAATGAAAACTCAGTATTCATGTAAAGCTTCAAGGAATATTAGGGCTTGGAGGGTTTTTCTAGTTTTATGAGAATTTGTACTACTGATTTTTATATATTTTTGTTTATGAGATAAGCAGATGTCTGGGAAAATTGTTGAGTTATACTAGCATTTCACTGTGACCCCTCCCAAGTCCAGCCACTCTTCTAACCCAGTGACATCTGTCTTTGGTTTACTGTACTATGAAATGTCAGCTCATGTTTCCCAGGAGCCATGTTTACGATGAGTCAGTGCTTTTCCTCAGCCTGATAGCTGTTGGCCCTCTTGATTTTGGTGTGTGTGCTCAAGAATCTGAACCTGTAGTCTGTTCTGTATATGCTATCCTAACTGTTAATTGTATTATTGATTATTTTGGATCTTGCTTGAAGATTGATTCGTAACTTTCAATTTGATAGAAATAAAGTTTTTTTTCTGCTTATAACTAGTCAGTTCATTTAATATTTATATATCCATTCACACTTGACAATGCATAGTTTCACAAATGCTGTCTGAAGCCACTGACATTATCAAGAGGTTTCTCCAATTTGCAGATGAGGAAAATAAAAGAACATAATGTGATCTTAAGGTCACAGTTGGTGGCAAAGCAATGTCTTAACCCAAGAGTTCCCCAGTCCCATTTGTTCTCCTCCTCCTATATCCTGTTGCCTCATTTGCATACTCTTAAATTCTTTGTTTGTCCAGCATTTTATCTGCTACAGATTTTAATGTACCTTGTTTAATTTTATTCTTGAAGCAACTGTATGATGTGAGCAGGTTTTGTCCTATTACAGTTACATCAAAGCCTCTGGGGTTACTCAGCAGAAGCAGAAACCCCAGCAGGGCTGTCTAATGGGAACTCGAGCCATAGAAGACATGCAGCTTTTGGGGGAGCAACCTCCTGAGAGAGGGAGGAGCAACCTTACACTCCCTCACTTATGGGGGCCTCTCATTAGCTGAGCCCAGCCTGAAGCCAACTGAGAAGAACCTGAAAACCAAATTCTAAAGCCTTCCACCCCCCTGAACAGGCAGAGGAGAGGGAGACTGGATTTGATTGGCAATACGGTAGATTGTATTGAAGTTCAAGACATTTGGTAATTTTGGGAGGATTTTGTATCTCCGTTGACTTTATGCTTTGATATATGACTGACTTTGGCTGTTGATAGAGTAATAATGTCACCATTTCGTGAATTGGCCAAAATGGCAGCTCCACCCCTTAATAGAAACTCTTGTGCTGTAAGACAGCCCCACCCCTGCTAGAGACTACTGCACCTGTACTAACTTCCTTACCCTCCCCCTTCTATAAAAGCCACGCCTCACCCAGACTTGGGGCTGTACCATCTTTTCCCTGGCCAGCCTGGCAGTTTGGGCCTGCCATTAAACCTTGCTCTATGGACATGAGACTTTTCTTGTGAGCTTTTTTTGTGAGCGTCGTTTTTCCTAACATTTGGTGCCATGACTCAGATTGGGTTGAGTTCCTGGCACTGACCTTGCTCTTCTGGCCTCTCCCACCCCATCCCACTCTCTCTGCTGTCTCTCTCTCTCAACTCCCATTTCCTTCCTCCGGGATCTGAGATGCTTTACTGGGACCCCCAATCCTAAAAAAAACCAAAAAAACCCCGCCACTCTCTCACTAGTTCACAGGGAAGTTCCTCCACCCCAGCACACCTCCAACTGCCATCCACCACTGGCCAATCTTTCCTCAAGGTTCTCTCTCCTTCAGTGAGTCCTCCTCGCACACTGAGCTGTGGTCTCTCTCTCTCTCTCATTCCCTTGAAAACCTAGTGCTAGGTCACAGCTTGCTCTTGTTCCTGGGAACTGGGTTCCCCAGTAGGGACTGTGGACCCCCTGAGGTGAAGATGTTCCCTCTGGGCATTGTGTTCCCCATTTCTCTTTCTCTCCTGAGGACCTGATATTTTGGGGATGCCCACCACATCTCTCCTCAGGTCAGGCCTTCACCATGGGAGTTGGACCATCCCAAATTCCTTCAGACTCCCCATTGGGATGTCTCCTGGC